AATCAGCGGAGAGTTTACTGCATGTCTGATCACAGGTAGGCCTTACAGTGCTGGGATCAGAGAGACGGAGCTCCTGCAGGAGTTCCATCCACTGACCTCGAATTCAGGTCTTACAATACATTTTATCTTCTTGGGCTGCTCTGCACTCAACAAAGGTACAACAATTCATGCATTGTAATCCTATTGGTCATTTGGTGAGCCGGAGCTCACACCTCCTTGCTGGAATGTGATCTACACGTGGACATTCAAACAGAAATGCGCAATAACCTGATTTTCACCGGCATTCCAGAACAATCACCCGACAACCCTGAAACACTGGTTAAGGACTTCATCAAAAATCAACTCAAAATTCCACCGGATACTGTTAATAAGTTCAGCTTTCACCAACGTACACCGCCTTGGCCCACGTTCCATCAAAACATCCCGGCCAATAATAGAACACTACAAGCACAAAGAACTGATTAAAAGTAAAGGAAAGGAACTGAGAGGCACAAATTTGGGACTCAATGATCAAGTCGCACTTGAAATAAATGAACGATGAAAAATCCTTTATCCCATCATGAAACAACACAGGCAGAACAAACGGGCAAATATCATTGTGGACAAATTATACAGTACATTGAAGGACAGCTCTATCGTGACTTGAACATTGCCCCGTGGCTTTTGTGATTTCTACAGACCAACCAGTGACTGCTACATTATATGTTAAATAATTCACCCCCTTTCATCACCCTGGTCTCTCACATCCACACACAGAGCAACCCCTATCCCACACGGACTGCTACAACCATCTCTTGCACCATCTCTTTTTACTCTGTTATTCTGTTTCTGTTTTTGTTTTAATCACACCATGTGGAAATGTATACTTGCCTGTTTTTTTGTACTGCTATGCTCACACTCTTAACACGCATGCATCAACCCTAGATCCCGTTAAACCGCTTTTATGCTTTTTTGTTTGTTTGTTTTGTTTTATTGTTTTTGTTTTTTGTATTTATTTATTTATTTATTTTTCCCCCTTTCTCTCTCCTTCCCACATCTTCCCTCCTTTCATCTTATGAACACATATCTATAACAAACAATCACTCGGTCACTTAAAATAGTGCCATGTAATGTGTGTGGATTCCGGATCCAGGTTAAGAGGATTAAAATCATTAACCATCTGATAAAATTAAATGCTGATATATGCTTTTTACAAGAAACCCACCTAACAAATCCAGAATCACAAAACCTTAAATTCAAACAATTTAACCAAATATTTTCATCAACATATAACAGTAGGTAAAGAGGCGTCTCAATTTTAATTAATAAAAATATCCCATTAATTCATAATACATCTATCACTGATCCAGAAGGCAGATTTATAATTATTAAGGTATCCATTAACCAGACAACATATACAATTGCGAACATATACGGCCCCAGTAATGATGATTCATCCTTTTTTCATATGTTTTTCTCATCTTTATGCAACTCAACAAATATTATTATTGCTGGTGATTTTAACATTGTTATTAACCTGGAAATTGACCATTCAAGCATCTCCAGCAATATAAGAAATTGGCACTCCACTGAAATAAAAAAATATATGGAGCATTATGGACTTGGTGATAGCTAGAGAATGAGTAATCCTACATCTAGAGAATACACCTACTTTTCCTCCCTTCATCAGTCTTTTTCTCAAATAGACCTCTTTCTTATCAGTAATTCCCTTACCCAACATGTAACAGACACCACAATCCACTCCATTATAATTAGTGATCATGCTCCCATTTCCCCTCACATTAAATATTGAAGCCCATACTAAACCCTCTAGAAGATGATGCTTCAATACATCATTAATCCAGGACTTAGATTGTATTACCTTTACTAAAAAAAGAGTGGGCATTCTTTCTGGAAATGAACAACTCCAGAAATCTCATTATTATGGGAAACAGGCAAAACAGTAATTAGAGGGAAAATAATATCATACTCATCGTACAAAGAAAAAACTGGAACTGGAAAGCACCTTAGAACAAAAGATAAAACAACTCACAGATTTACATTCCCAAAACCCTAGCGAGCAAACACAAAATGAATTAAGCGAACTAAAAATGCAACTTGAAAATATTATATTAAAAAAAGCGCAGTTTCTCATTCAACAACTCAAATATGAACACTTTCAGTATAGCAACAAAACAGGCAGTTATCTGGCTAATCAATTACAACACAAAAAGGAAAAAGCATCACTCCCATCCATATTTAATCCTAGAGGTGAAATTGCTTATAATCCACAAGATATTAACGTATTCCAAACCTTTTACAGTAAACTTTACTCCACCAATTACAACTCAAATTCATCAGAAATAGACATTTTCTTACATAGTTTAGAACTGCCAACATTATCCAGAGAACAAGCTGACAGATTAGATGCTTCTCTCACTATCGACGAACTCCATAAAGCACTGATTTCAATGCCAAATAACAAATCACCTGGACCTGATGGACTACCAGCTGAATTTTATAAACATTTTTGTCAAATCCTATCACCACTGTTCCTCAGAGTCACCACAGAAGTTAAAGACACCTCCACAATACCAACACACATGAACACAGCCACCATGACACTCTTATTAAAACCAAACAAAGACCCGATCCACCCTTCTAGTTACCGTCCCTTATCACTTATTAATTCAGACTTAAAAATCATTACCAAAGCCCTAGCTACTAGAATAGAGACAGTCACTCCAATACTAATCCACCCAGACCAAACAGGCTTCATTAAAAACAGGAATGCTTCAGACAACATCCGTAGATTATTTAATTGAATTAATCTTGCACAACAAAAACAAACCAAAACCATAATTTTATCACTAGATGCAAAGAAAGCATTTGACAAAGTTATCTGGACATTTCTCTTTTATACACCACGCAGATTTGGGTTTAGAGAGTCGTTCATCCATTGGATAAGAACACTGTATACATCACCTAGGGCGACAATAAGTACAAATGGGATCAGGTCACAAAGTTTCATTTTACAGTAGGGTACCAGGCAAGGATGCCCACTCTCACCATCTCTCAAAGGTATGACCCCTGTGATGTATCGACACCCACAGTAGAGCATGTCTGATCTTTATAATCAGACGTACTCTAATCTTAAGTCACATTTTGTTGATACTGGATATGCTATCTGAATCTGAAATCACCTAGTTTCAAATGTGACAATTGCAAAAATTGCTTCTTTTTTTTACATAGTAAGGATGTCTGTCTTGAGAAGATGCTAACTGCAGATAAGCTGCACGGGTAAAGTTAACTGATGGAAAACAGTAAACAAACATTACAATTTACAACCAATCAGCCACAACATTAAAACCACCTGCCTAATATTATGTTGGTCCACCTCATGCTTCCCAGGCAGCTCTGAGCCATCATGGACTCCATAAGGCCTCTAAACATGTCCTCTGGTATCTGACACCAAGACATCAGCAGCAGATCCTTTAAGTCCTGTCAGTTATGAGGTGGGAACCCCATGGACCAGTTTTTTCAACAAATCCCACAGATGCTCAATTGGACTGAGATCTGGGGGATTTGGGGGCCAAGTCGACACCTAGGACTGTTTGCCATGTTCATCAACCCATTCTTGAACATGTTTTGCAGGGTGCATTATGCTGCAGAAGGAGGCCACTGCCATCAAGGAATACAGAAACTAGACTGGCTCAGCATGAACACCTCTCTTTGTAACTGGTTGCTGGATTTTCTTACTGGGAGGCTGCAGGCAGTTCAGGTCAGCAGCAGCAGCACATCCAGTACCATCATACTGAATACAGGGCCCCCCAAGGATGTGTGTTTAGTTCCCTGCTTTTCACCGTGCTGACACATGACTGCACACCAAAGTACAGTACCAACCTCTTCATAAAGTTTGTGGATTATACAACCATGGTGGGTCTCATTTCCAATAATAATGAGACAAGCTACAGGACTGAGGTAAGCCAATGCAGTGCAGAGACAATCATCTCTTTTTAAATGTGGAGAAGACGAAGGAGATTGTAATTGACTTTTGGAGAGCGCACACCCAGCATTCTCCTCTGACCATTGATGCTGCTGCTGTGGAGAGAGTGACCAGTACCAGGTTTCTGGGTGTGCACATAAAAGAGGATGTCTCCTAGAACAACAACACTGCATTACTGGCCAAGAAAGCTCAGCAGTCCCTCTATTTCCTCCACAAACTGAGGAGAGCTCGAGCCTCAGTACCTATTATGTGCTCCTTCTATCATGGTATCATTGAGAGCATCCTGACCAGCTGCATCACTGTGTGGTTTGGAACCTGCACCACCTCTAACTGGAAAACCCTTCAGCACATAGTGAATGCAGCAGGGAGGATCATTAGAGCTTCACTCACCTGCCTTTTGGACATTTATAACACCCACCCACCCCTCACACAGCTTCCTTAGTCTCCTACCATCTGGGAGGAGGTCCCGGAGCCTCCAGGCTCGAACAAGCAGACTTAAGAGACAGGTTTATGCACCAAGATGTCAGGAAATTAAACTCTCTTTTTCTCCCCACCCCTGCTTTCTGCTCCATGAAGCCTGGACTGTAAATCTATCACTGTTAACACGTACACAGATACACACTTATTCACACAAAGTACTAGACACCTTACATAAAGGATTTTCATTACTGCTACCTTGTACACAGTGTATACTATTCTTGCACAAATTGCTATTATCATTTGCCTTGCTATTTTTAATTGTACATATGGCAGCCCAATTATACGATAATTTATTTTCTCATATGCATATATAGTGGTTGTTTATACAGTATATTGTATGGTCTGTGTTTTCTGTCACAGCCTTCACTGTGGGTCTGATTGAAATGTAATTTCAATCCTCTGTATGTCTTGTTCATATAGAAGAACTGACAATAAAATTGACTTGACTTTTGTCATGAAGGGGTGGACTTGATCTGCAACACTGTTTAGGTACAAATGCTGGGACATGAGGTTGCCCAGCAGAACATCACCCTACCTCCACCAGTTTGCCTTATTCCCCTAGTGCTTCCTGAGGCCATCTCTACTCCAGGCAAATGATGCATAACCCAACCGTCCACCTGATGTGAAAGGAAACATGATTAATCAGGCCACCTTCCTCCATTGCGCCACAGTCCACTTCTGATGCTCACGTGCCCATTGTAGGCACTTTGACAGGGTTCAGCATGGACACTCTGACCGGTCTGCGGCTGCACAGCCCCATAAATAGTAAGCTCTGATGCGCAGGGAACTCTGACCAATTGTTGAAACTCAGATTCACGAGAAACAATGTGGATTCTATCCAGTCTACATGTGTTTAGTGGACTTGGAGAAGGCTTAATTTTCACATGACTGGTTTCACAAGACTCCTTAGGGATTCTTATGATGCAAGGAAACCTTCTGAAAGATTAATATATATATTTGTTTATTTATGCAACAGAATTTGCTCCAAACACATCTGTGGATATCCATAAGCCATACACACCTTCAATAACATCTGCACTCAGTTGTATCCAATTTACTGCTGCAGTGTGTATAACACACTTGTAGAGAACAGAAGTCATGACTTCACATCGCCACTAACCTCTATTCCACCAGCTTCTGTAACTCAATGCAAGCTCTCATTCAACATTTTTTCATTGGCCTTTATGAAAAATTGAAACATGTTCCTGGAGTTTACTGCCCATGTTCTAAGACAAAATGACGTCAACTGTAACACTTGTTATAGGAAAGTGAAACTTTCTTGATTTTAACAAATCAGTCACTTTTAGCTTCTGGGGTTAGGCTTCTTAAAACATTTCCACTGTTAAATTATATTTTGACTCAGTTTTATCTGTGTGAGTAACTCCAACGTCTCAGTGTTTGCAGATCTATCTGGGGGTAGCAGCTCAGTACTGGGGAAGTTTGCATGAATTTGACCTCTGAAAACAGTAATGATGTTATTCTTGGGGAACTACTAAAAGTTACTACGGTCTGAGTTGCCTAGGCCTGTAAATTGGCCCGGTCACATACAGAAGTGTCTGAACTCACCACAGCTGGTTGACTTGCTAATGGGCTCGCCTCTTCTGCTGCATCGTAACGCTTTTCAGTCTTGACCAAAGTGGTGGTCTAACCAATCAACTGAACCGTGTGCATTGCTGTGAGCTGTATGTGGGCAACAGGCTTCATCCCATGTAATAATGCTAACATGCTTAACTAAGATGGTGAATATGGTAAGCAGTATAAACATGAGCATTTTAGCACTGTGTGAAGGCCTCAGTCCTGGCCTAAACCACCACAGCCATGGACTTGGGTGGGTAATTTCTTGATGTGTGTAGGTTAAGTTGTAAGTAAATATTGTTTGAGATTAGTAGTGATGGGTCCGGCAACACCAATGCGTCGCCACATTCGTAGAGCAAAACCCCGTGTCGGTGCGCGTATCGCTTTAAGAAAGTCACGTGAACGATACAGGAAAACAAACTGTACTGACACTGCCGCGCCAAACTGTGTTTATAAAAAAGCGCATACGTCAACGGGATGCATCTGCCAAAACGAATCTCTGTCACAGCTGATGCCATCCAGGAGGTGCAGAGATACCTGGCAGAGGGCAATATTGCCAGGTCCCAGGATCCTATAAGATACTGGGACAACCAAAAGGCAATCTATCCAAACCTCTTCCGACTTGCCTTACAATTTCTCTGCACTCCAGCCTCATCTGTGCCGTGTGAGTGGGTGTTTTCTACAGCTGGAGAAGTTGTATCAAAAAAGCGTAATAGACTCAATGTCAAAACGTTGGAAAAACATTTTTTAACAATTTGTAAAAAAATAAATAAATAAATAAAACAAATCCCAGTCCACAAGCATCCTCATTCACAACACGTTCATTTAGATTTTCACATTATGATACATGTTCACATTATTGACTATCTAAAAATATCAAGGAAATTTAAATGAAGATATGAAATAATACAATGACTTAAATTATATTATTGTATATACTAGGTCATCAAATCAGTGTCAGTTGAGTTTTGTCAACTAGGTTGCCTGTAGGGATTTTTAAGGTCCAGCAGGTGTCAGTATTCAGTGACACAGTATCAAAAGAGTTTGGCAATGTGTCGAAACGCTTCATGACGCCTCATCTACCATCACTAGAAAATACAAAATTAACATCAGATAAATTGGGCCCTAAATGCTTCAATATTTAGTTGAGAGCAGACTGTTTAGTGTTAGTTGATTGCTTTGGTAGTGTCTTTAGTTTACCCCTTGTGTGTGTTATTGGTTTGGCCAGCCTAATATGTATATGTATATGTTCCCCTGTGTGTGTCATTTGTCAGGCCAGTTGGTTTTGTTGAGGTATTAGACAGTTCAGTTTGCTGTATTGAGTTTCCTAATCTTTTGTTGACCTCTTTTAGGGCCCAATTTACTGACACTGATTTGATGACCTAGTATATACAATAATATAATTTTAAGTCATTGTATTTCATATCTTCATTTAAATTTAAAATTTTATTTTTAGATGGTCAAATAATGTGAACATGTATCATAACGTGAAAATCTAAATGAACGTGTTGTGAATGAGGATGCTTGTGGACTGGGATTTTTTTTTTT